CCCCACACCCACCCACACCCACACCCAAAATGAGAAAAAAAGAATTTCACCAGCGGGTGGCGATCGCCGTTTTGCCATTCCGCTCTTAAATCCGTCACTGCATAATTGTATTATAGATAGTAGAAAATTAGATCATTTTCCTATTGAAAAATTATACAAGAAAAAAATATATTGTGTATATTAAAGTAAGTTAATTGATATTCTATATTATGAGATAAAAAAATAAGAAAAAGGTTCGATAAATAAAATGTTTGTTTGTTTTTTCATCATTTCCATGATACTATTCATCATCGTTTGCTTCATCGCCTATAGGATAACCAAGAGCATCGTTCACTTGTTCAACTTGTAAATAACGTTCACCCTGTACATCTACCCAATATTTATTGATATTTAATTGGCGTTTAGAAGTTGACATTCGACTTTCAATATTAAGTGCAATACGTGCTCGTTCTAAATGCCTTTTTTTTTAATAAGAAGAAAAGTAAAATAATAATAATAAAAAGTAGAAATCAATAAAACGAACCATAATTTTTTTGCCCTTTTTTTCACATCTGTATATGTATCACCCATCATAGCAATGAGTAAATTTAACAAAAGAATACTAATAACCACAACATAAAGAATAAGTAATAAAGCACCTGCCAATGGATATGGTCCTTTGGTGTAATAATCTAGATCAAAATCACCCAATAAACATAAAAAACATTGTCTTATGCTTGAAATGTAACCTTGCAAACCTACAATGAATCAAAGTATAGGTTATTTATACATTTGTTCATCCTTTTCACCCTTCACACAATTTACCATTCCCATTGAATAATATAAAAAAACATTGCGAGAAACCAGTGAGAAAAATTATGTATATTATACAAAAACGAAGAACATCATTGAATAACATTTTATAAATCATAATCACAAATGGACCAGTAAATCGAAATGGCATGGTGAAAAAGAACATATAACTCCATCCAAGAAGAGAAGTAACAGCAAGAATGACAGTTTCATGTTGCATATCAAACAGACGAAGAGTTTGTACAGTAAAAATACAAAAACAGAATGAACATGCCAAACAATTTTCAAGAAAAATAGATCCCTAAAAAATTAACATAATCAATTGAATCTAGATGAATTAAAAAAGTAATCCCTCACTGTACTATTCCAGTAATTCCATAAACCTAAAGTAGACATTTCATTTATTTCATATGCACTTTTCCATAGAGCACCTTCTATTACAATGAAATGACCGACTGCAGAGATTATTTGACGACTAAAATCCAAATTTTTACTATCAGTTGTTACTGTTTTGTCGTTTTCATCTGCTGTCTAAAAACATATTTCATAGTTAAACAAGATGTTTTATTATATTACCGTTTCTGACGGTGTTTGTTCTAAAATTGTAGTGACAAGAAAACTGAGAAGATAGATAAACGTAAGGAAAAATTGTCGAATAAGTACTCGATAAGCAAATTGTTTCCATTTTTTGTCAATTAAAGATGTAATAATAGAATGTATTAATTCTGGATCATTATTTTTAATCATTATTTCAAGTACACTAAGAGGTCGTTGTTTGCCCTGAACAAAATCAAATAAAATATCCAATAGATATAAATATGAATATTAATTGACTTACCTCTTTTTGAAAATCAAGATCGAGTTGATCTAGTGGATGTAATACACATGAAACATTACCATAAGACCATTGTATTTTTTTACGTTCATAGAGTAACCATGACAACATTTTAGCCCGACCTAAATCGGCTGCTAGAGTTAATGGTGTTAAACCATCTTTATTGAAACGATTCCACAATTTCGTGATTTCAATTGATTTTGAGTTTCTAGGTAACTTTTGGTCGGTAACAGTTTGTTGTTCTATCCAACGTGCTTTGAATTTGGCATACATTTCAGGTAAATTGCAGATAACAAGCATATGTAGAATGGTATTATCATTGCTCTCCGTCTAAATATAAATAATATAAAGAAATCAGGCCAGAGTTTCTTCAAATGATGTTCTTATGAAGAAAAAAATTATTCGAAAGCCAAAAACAAAAAGCTTTTCCCATATCTCTACAGTTAGTAATAACTCAGTTAAGATCTAAATTGAAATATTTATTATTATTAATTTTTTAGCATTCAACATTCGATAATTCTTTCTTTACTGACCGCATCCATGTCGGCACCATATTTGAGTAAGATTTCAACCATATCCCACTGGTTAGTACAACAAGCAAATCCTAATGGAGTTTCACCATAATAAGACGGCTGATCTCTAAAAGCTCTAATATGAAATAAAAGACAGAAGAAAAGTACTTTACATTTTAAAGAAGTCCCCTGTAGCAGTAGCTGTCAATAATTGTTGTCGATATATCTCTAAGTTATCATTATTAAGCAGCCATTCAACCATAGTTGGATTACGTTTGACGATAGCAATATGAAGAATATTCTCACCATAATATCTCTAAATAATCTAATTATATGTATCATTCAAATACCCATCAATATATACTGGATGTAACAAAAAACATTACGTCCCCTCTACAACTTAAAGTATAAATGATACCACAAAATATTTTATACCAAATAAATACTCATCAAAAACTGGATTAATAAGTGTAATTAGAGCAATTATTGCCTATGAAATTATTGAAATGTCTTGAATTACATGCGAAATTGCATTCGTACTTTACGATTTTCATTCTTCATCTACATGTTTTCACAAAAAATAATAGTAGATTCGTAATCTCCATCAAAAACTGAATCTATAGACATGTTATTTGTATATTTTTGACGAAAAACAATTTTTTGAAAAAATCCTGGGACGTACTCCATGATAGTTCTTTTATAGGCCTGATACTATAGAAATCTATGGCATTTTTATGCCCAAACGGGCTCTTATACTGCAATTTTTGCTTTTTTATTACATTTTTCAACAAAAATAATATCAAATTCGTGATCTCCGTCAAAAACTGCGTCGAATGATATATATATAAATCGAGATATTTCAGTTCAAAAAAAATTTTTTGAAATTTTTTGTCTCGGGTACCTTTCAGGGTTTTTCAAAAACTTTTCTCGTCAAAAATATACAAATGACATGTCTATAGATTCCATTTTTGATGGAGATTACGAATCTGCTATTATTTTTTGTGAAAACATGTAGATGAAGAATGAAAATCGTAAAGTACGAATGCAATTTCGCATGTAATTCAAGACATTTCAATAATTTCATAGGCAATAATTACTTTAATTACACTCATAAATCTAGTTTTTGATGACTATTAATTTGGTATAAAATACTTTGTGGTATCATTTATACTGTAAATTGTAGAGGGGAGCGTAATGTTTTTGTTACACCCTATATATATGTATATATTTACTGGTTTATTGTAAATTTGCGTTACGATCATTGGGAATCGTATAATAAGATCTCGAGCAATCTTCAAATGCGTATATGTTCCATATAGAAATAGCATATGAATGGGGCACTCGCCAACGGCACCTATCATATTAATAACATCTGCATCAGCATCTATCAAACGATCAATTGCAGCCTTGTCTGCATTGAACACAGCAGTCCATATCGTATTATCTTTGTACATAAGTTCAGTTTGTTGTTCGACTTCTGACTGATTCGAATGAACATCGGAAGTTTTTGTTGCTAAAATTATATTGTTAAGCATATTAACAATCAAATGAATTCTTACTATTTGCCATTGTTGCGTCAAAACTTGAAAAGAAACCATCGATGAGTCTTTTTTTTTTCGTTCTATCCTTTACTGTTTGTCAAGGTGATTGTTACTTGCCGCATGCCACCTACAAAGTTTCTTATTCATCGATGAAATAATAGTGCATACCTGGATGTATACCAATCACATATGTTACTAGACGACATTACAGAACAAGTTTCTTTTTTTTCTCATTCTGTTCTCTTCTTTAATAAACCCATCCTTCGCATTATTCAAGTAGCCAATGGCACATCAAAAATAGTGTAAACTGTTTGCTTCTTATCTATAGCAATGACTTTTGTTTACTATACTTTTGATTTATTTTTTAATCATTATTTAAACGTAACCTGTGATTATTACGACTATTATATTTCTCAACAGAGATTAAAAAGAAACATCGCAAGAAGCGATAGATGACAATCAATCAAATTTGGAAATGTATTGTAACGTTTAATATCTGAACACTTGGCCAAGCTAAGTGGACCACAAAAGCTTAAGACACCTTTGACTTTGTGTTTTTTTGTAAAAAGAAAGAAGGGTGTGGGGCGTGGGTGATGACTTACGCTATACCCATACCCACACCCATCCACATCCCAAACTCACACTCACACCATAAACTCGTACCCAACATTCACATAGCTTGCCTAAAGAGCTGTATCAAATGTGAAAGACAGAAATACGTTCCAATAAATCCAAAAGGTTAACTGATGGATGCCAAGATATCGAATATATCACTATTAATCACAAAATATAGAGATTAGGAGCTTGCATACGATGAAATGCAAAGTGCAAATTATTCTAAGCAAGTGTCTCCTTGGCATTTTGTCATCATGGTGGACCGCTGCTGTGGAAAACACTGAAACTAACTAGAGCAACAATCCATATTATATACATATATATACAGATAGATAGATAGATAGAGGATAACAAATTAAACACAGATATGGAAAGAAAAAGAGACAATAATGATGTTATGAAACGACAGATGGCGTCCCATGACAGATCTCACACGAACGAGACGATAAGTACATCTGCACATTACCGATTAAATGATAAGATAATCAATGAAAATCGACAAAAGTTCAATCTTGTTTGTTTCTGTTTTTAGAATTGTTTCCCATGGCATAAAAAAGTGGAAAAAAAAGACATTTTCGATGATGAAACGGACATAAAAATCGATGTATTTTATTTTCATCAATTAAAATGAAAGTTTCATCAGTTTTATTCCATAAGTTTGATTTTTAATTAAAGACATCCAAATAAAATACATTGATTTTTATGTCTGTTTCAACATTTTCATGATATTGTTTTTCATTTTTTAGTTTTCTGAGTTGACTACAATTTAACACATTCACCACGATTCAAATTCCATAGAAACTAACATCTTTAAATATGTTTTATTAGAAAACAAAACACACCACAAGATGCAACATGAAAAGCTCTACAATCTACATCATAAAACTTATTTCAATTGTGTACTTTTTGTTTTCAAAATAAACTAAAATTGTGTGTGACCAATTTTTGAGGTTGCGAAAATTGATTGCACAGAATTTTACTTTTTTCGAAAACAAACAATAAACTTTACGATGTAGATTGTAGAGCGTTTCACACTGCATCTTGTACTATATTTTGTTTTTTCTTACGAAATAATATTAGGTGATAAAAAGATGCAACAAGAAAAATGAAATTTCACATTCGTGCAGAAAAAATGACCGTTTCGCAACTTTGAGAACTAGTTACACACAGTTTTACTTTCTTTGAGAACAAAAATTACACCATTAAAATAAGCTTTACTATGGGGATTGTAGAGCTTTTCACGCTGAATCTTATGGTATATGTTGCTTTTTTAATAAAACGTATTTAGAGATTAAAATATGAAATGCAAAGTGGGGTCCACCGGTGGACCCCATCGTGGTGAATGTGTTAAAAAATCATTAATGATGACAACTAATCCTGACATGTTGGAAGAGTGTGCTCAAATCGTCGCCAATGCACGACATATAGTTTGCTTTACTGGTGCAGGTATGTCGACAGAATCTGGTATTTGAACTTTTCGAGGTGGAAGTGGCTTATGGAATGGTGCTCTGGGTTTTATTGTATTAGGATGGTTTGGTACACCAATCGGTTGGAAATGGACTCCTGGCTTTGCTTGAACTCAATATATTGACAAATTTTATAATCCAATACGTGATGCACAACCGAATGAAGATCACAGAGCACTCGCATGTTTATAAGAAATATATCCTGATATGTCTATCGTCACACAAAACGTTGATGGTTTGCATCAGAAGGCCGGTTCTAATCCTAATCGGGTGTTTCAAGTACATGGAACTGTCAGACGGAGTCGATGTATCACTAAGGGTGATATTTATGATTTTGAAGGAGAAACAAATCTCCCAAGAAAGTCTCCGACGTGTCATGTAGAAGGATGTGGTTCTACTTTAGGTCCTGATTGTGTATTGTTCACGGAAAGTTTATCCAGTAATCAATGGATGGTTGCGGAACTAGCGACGCGAGAATTGGAACCTGGTGATGTGATGATCATTGTTGGTACTTCTGCTCAAGTGTATCCTGCTGTTGGATTACCAGAATTAGCGGCACAAAGAGGTGCCACGTTAATCGATGTGAACTTACAGAGAACAAATTTTTCGAATTTGAAAAATTATGAATATTTAGGTGATACTGTCACAACAATTTTACCAGCGCTGGTTGAGAGAGTCTAGCAGCTCAAGAAAACAGCGAATGTTAAACCAACTAAAAATCTGGAACACTCTTTATGATGTTGTCTATAATAAACTGTTTGTAAAAAAATTTCAAGCTTTGTTATAATACTATGACATTGTAAAATATTTTTCTGTGTAGTAATTTCAATCATAAATTTTCTTTCTCTGAAAAACTCTGTAATATTATTAAAACATCTAAATAAAGCAGACAACAGTCACATCGCCGGCAAAACTACGTTAACTTGATGTAATCTTCGATCAATAACTGCAATGAGATCATCATATTCAACACTTGAACGATAAAATGACTAACGAACTATCTCTTCTTCATTTTATCACGAAATCAACACTAAACTGATAGGTAGCTAAGTCTAGATCGGCGCTTGTGGAATGAATGAATATATAGATGCTGGAAGTCACACTCTGTTTATTCGTATTAGATCATGAACTAAATATATAGGGTAATGGATCATGTATCTTGGGGAAACATCCAACAAGTGATCTACATAGAACAGTGAGATCAATTTCAGTGAATATAGTGTATAAGAAAGAAAGTAGAATAGATTTAAGTGACAGGAAACGGAATATGTATCATATGTTCAAGGAAACAGAAGAGAGAAATGTAAGGAAAATACCGATGACCTTGACAGCAGACAACTAGAACACGTATACATGAAGATGGCCAGATCTATGTGAACTACCACCTAACAAAACGTTAACACTCAAATTATCGTTAATATCTACCAAAGCTTACCATCAGGTCTGTTATTTCTTACAGGGCGTCAGTTTTGTTCTTACTGAATGTGGGTGAACGTGTACGCGTGTGTCGTTTAAGATATTAGCTACATCTACAACTATAGCCACATCCCACACCCAAACTCACACCTGCATCCAATAATACCATTTATGCGAAAGATATTGCTATGTACAAAGCGTACCAAGAGAAGGAAGAATTCTCTCTTATGCCTGAAATTTGCTTGTGAGTTTAGTCAACATCATATAATTTGTTTGATTGCATCATTGTTCACTAGAACGAATGATCAGTGTTTTTGAAGCTGTCTATGGTATTTCAGAAGTTGTTGCATTGTTAATGAATTTCTTGGAACATCATAGAGAATGATTTTGTACAGAAATAGACTAAAACGAAATGGTAGTGACCCAAACGTTTCGACAAGGGTTGAGTTTGAACAAACTCAAAATTAATTCTTTCTCAGATATCTTAATTACACCAATCTATAGCATACATGATATTGTGTTTTTCGTAGCATCATATAATGCTATTGTAGGCGTGGATATGGATGTGGATTTCGTTGAATGAAAGCTTCATAAGTATGGCTACAACAACAACCCACACATTTCATAAAGGGATTATTTTTCTCCAAAATTAGGAAATCTAGAATTCTTAGCTAATACAGGAATGGTGAGAAATAACCTCAGTCATTATGAAGCAAGCAGAATTAAGCATATGTTTACGATAAACTATAAGAATAAATATTGTATCAGAATTTTTTTCGTTAAATGATGACCTATTTTATGGTAGATTTGACAAATAGATAGAAAAAAAGATACTGTTCTCAAATTTAGAGTTAAACGGACGTTTAGATTGTTTGAATAACTTTTAATTTGTTATGGCCATTGAAAAAGAACGAGCTTCGAGAAGTGCATCTGTATATATGTTTTTCATTCGATATTGTCATAATTTTCATGCTAAGCCAACCTCAAATTATTCTAAATTGTACCTCGAAGTGTCCTATATGTGGTATATTTATTACAATTTCAAATGATCTTGTTGAAAAAAGAGATTGTGAAGACACTATAGATAGACTTAGCCGATCAAAAGCTATTGAAAAGATGCCCACGTCTATTTAACTCTGACATATACAATAATGATGAATTTGCATGGTTTTAAACAGTTATTGATGTCTCAATCAACTCTATCGACACCATTGCACTAGATGCATCTAAGTTCATTAATC